CCTTCGCCTCCAGATCCCACGGCGGTAATCCGGCAAGGAGGTTCGCCGACTCCCCAGAGATCGTGCGGTATCCGCGGATCATTCGGATCGCCATGACCCTCTGTGCCATGAGCAGCGTCCGAGCGGGACGCCGCAACAGGTTTGGCGCCCAAACAGGGGCGCCGTAGAGGGCCATGGACCGCACGACCCCGGCGTATAACCTCCGGCAGGAGGCGTTTGGCCCCCCGAGGTTGGGGAGGATGCGTTTAAACGCAGCCCCCGTCCTCGCCAACTTTGGAGCCAAACGTCGGAAGTGTTCAATGAAGTTCCACCGACTGTCGAGGACGAGTCCTAGGTACTTCATCGTCGTCTCGACGCCGATGGTAACTCCTCCCGCCGTTATTTGGGACCCACCCGGAGGTGGCGCGTTCCCGCGGCCATGAAAACACATGGCCTCGGACTTGTGGAGCGCCACCTCGAGTCCCAACTGCCGGATTCTCTCAACGACTGTCGCAACCGCTGTCGCCATTAAGTCGGCCGCCGCCTGGTGTGACCTCCCGTGCGCTAGCACCAGCGTATCGTCGGCGTAGCATATTGTGCTAACGCCGTTCGGGAGGTCGGTGCGCAGCACCCAGTCATAGCCGATGTTCCACAGGAGCGGCCCCAGAACCGAACCCTGTGGAACACCGCGTGACATCTCTCGCCGGTTCCACTCGCCCCGGTGACCGGGGTAGCTGACGGACCTGTCCGTCAGGTAAGCCTCGATTACACGACGGAGGTAGGTAGGCACCCGATGATATCGGAGTGCCTCCAAGATGCAGCTCCAGGGCAGGGAGTTGAAGGCGTTGGCGATGTCCAGAGACACCGCCACTACGACCTTACCCCTGGACACTGTAGTCCCCGTCGTGAGGTCTCTAACGCGCATGATGGCGTCCACCGTGGAGCGCCCTCTGCGGAAGCCGAACTGGCCGTCCGACTAGCAGCTTTGTATCCACTAGATAACATTTGACGCGTAACATGATGCATAAACGAGTCCGTGGAGAAATTAAATTTATTCTTTATTAAAAAAAAAATGGTGCATAAAATGTTTCTTAGCATTGATAGTAACATTGCAACATTCGTCGGTAACATGAGCAAACAGTTTAATTTTAATTTTTTATGGTTGACGTTCATAAGTGCCTTCCTGGTGCATTTTAAATAAATGATTTTGACTTTGACTTTGCCTTTGATGTTCAACATTGGTAAGCGTGTTGGGCGTAACGTGTTGTGCATAAAATGTTAGAGGATAGATAGATAAATACGAGGTTTTAGGGACCTCACTTTATTCCCAAACTTCCCCGACTGCGACTGTATTTGCATTGAATCTTCTAGAAGCTGTAAACAGGTGATTTGTTAGTAATGTGCTCTGTTCCAACTTTTGTTACGAACTGTTCATGTTATTTTATGCTATTTCGAACATTAAGGTTTGTTTTGGTTTTTTATTTTTTGGTCTTGGGATTATTTGGATGTCTTTTTGTGTACAAAAGTTTCTCCATGTGTTCCATGGAACTAATAACACAACAGCCAGTGTTTGGTCTTGTAAACCTCTCTCCAACCCGCTAAGAACCATGGCATAATGCTACTCTTTTATATTATTATCAATGAAATTTATTTTAGCTAGACCGCCATGCAATGTAAGAATAAAATTAATTGGCAATCTATTGAAGAACTATGTTAATGCAAAATAAATAGAAATCTATTGAACAATTTTGCTCAAGAACAGTTCAAGAATCAAACTATATTTATCATTTATTTTACACCCACATTTTATTTTTCAATGTAAAAAATATCGTATTTCTGTTTTCTTACGATTTATAAATGAAGCCAAGTTGGATCGTAGACCTGCTGTTTTAGTTCTATTTCACAAAAAAAAAATCAAATCTCTAGAATAGGCTTAGTGACCCTACTCAGCGATTTCTTGATCCTTCAGACATATCTTCTTAGATTTTCCAGAAACATCCATCTTCCTACCTACAATATAAATGTTATTTCGTATACGAGACGATAAATAAAGCAGGAGGCTTGACAACAGGGCTGATATATTGTCATACACATTATTTTGCACTTATGAGAACTTGAGCGTTAAAAGTGAAGTCACAAGTGTGCCGAGTCAGAGGTTTTGTATTCGATCTCCCTGGGTTTGAGCTCAGCGTATTGTATAAGTGTGGGAGAGTCATGTTTCGGCTCGATTGGACCTACTCCACCGGAGTGATACCTTGGCCTCACAGATAACTGACGTGAAACAACGCTTACGTTGTGTTTCCATTTCCCAATCTCCCCAATCCCTGAATTCCCAACAATCCTCAAACTTCTAAACCCTAAAAAGCTGGTAACACACTTGTGACGCCTCTGGTGTTCCAGGTGCCCATGGGCGACGACATCGATTGCTTACCATTAGGTGATCCGTCTCCTCGTTAGCCAGCTTGTCCAATAAAAGAAAGATAATGGGGTTGCTCACTATTGCATTTAACACTATTATTGTAACAAGGAAACTATTTTTTCCTTGTATTCACGAATGCATGTTTTCCTTATTGAAAAATGTCTACAAACACAATCCCCGAAAAATAGTTTTAATACCAAGCGAATCTTAATGACTTTTGCGGGCAAAATGTCACAAACAAATAGTCTTGCCCTTTCCATGGGTCAGGGCGGTAGACCGATGCGATGGCGCTCGGTCAACGATACGGATTCGATTAACGCGCGTTACCTTTGGGAGTCCAAACGTGAACGTGCACGTTTCAGTTACGGGGGAATCGAAATCAAATGACC